CCTCGCGAGATTCCTCTAGGCCCAGCCAGGTGGGAAGAGAGCACCGCCATTTCTCCACTACCTCGACGAGGCCTGGCCAGGAGCTGTACTGGCGGGCATCTTCCTGGACCGTCACGTGAGACTGTGGCTTTGGTGTTGACAGCAATAGAAGCAGCGTGCACAATTTTCACAAATACTTCTTGCTCTTGGTGCTTTGCGGCGTCTGTGGCCGGTGGACTGAACGGCAAACTCCATTCTGGGTACATCCTGAAGCAAAAGCTCACTCTAGACCGCAGGCTCTCCACGACGGGCATCTTCCCGTGCATCTCTTCCATCCACAACGTCATTTCGTAACTGAGAACATTTCTCAAAGGCAGGCGTGCGGTAGGGCTGCATCGTCGCGACGGACAAGGGCCGAAAACACAAGACAAGCATCCCTCATGTTGTCTCTACCCACCAAGGCTAGAGACGACGTTGCTGCACGTCACGGCGGACCTGAAACATGGCGCACTGGCAGTGATTGTGCCAATCTCAGAGGCGCCGTCTCTTCGAAGCGTGCCGCCACACCAACACCAACTTCACGGTACCCGTTCCACTACGTACGACCTCACGCCGGCTGAATCCTTCCCGAAACTGCTTCCCAGACGCGACGCCATGGCGTCCAGCACTGCAAAAAGCACTATATGATGCGTACTTCGGATCTGGCTACATTGTGGCGCCTGCCACTTGCTCTCAATCAGGGTCTTTGCCTGCATTTCAGCTCAAGGCGTCACGCCACAGCAGCACATCCCTCACCTTGATGCCCTCCAGGATCATTTCTTCTTTGACGACTCCACTCTGCCGCTACACCTTGTGGGGCTTCGCGCGCGGCAGCTAGGGAATTCCCCAGCGGATTTGCATCAAGGTGACGAGGTCGGACTCACGAATGCTCCTTGCCCTGCTAGTTGACTATTTAGGTGCCGGCTGCGACCTAATCTCACGGCCGCGGTGCCGCGCCGCTGGCGCTGTCAATCATCCTTCCGGATAGACCAGACTACCTGGCCTAAAGTAGTCAATCTACTTATCGACTCTGGCCTCTTTCGCTAGTCGGCCTGAGAGATCCTTTAGATACACCATCCAGCGTGGCTATGGTGGGAGGCTGCACCATCCGTTCCGTACATTGATTTATCGACGAGCCGATCATTAGATCCATTCAATGTGGGCAGGACGCCGAGCCGTGGATTCAATCCTTCATCCATCTTTGCCATCAAAGCCAGCTGTTGCCTGCTGTTCCGACGCGGATACGGATCGCGGCATGCCAATGTCTCTTCTCAGACCGAGGCTATACATCTGTTGATCACAAATGTTGGATTCGGCACCGCAGTTGGCTTGTTTCAGGGCTTCTGCGCTGGCCACGGGTCATTGTGTGTATTGGTGCCAGCCTGCATCGATACCGTAGGCCACGCCTCGTGCTCGGAACCAACGCGCGGTCTGTCAGCTGCAGCAGCGGGCGTACGTGTCGATGGTGCGAAGATCTTCCTCCTCTCGAGAACGCTGGGGTTCCGCCGCACCCGAGCAGCCGGAAAGACGTCTATTCTTTTGCCCGGCTCTTCGGTAAGTCATGCATGCAAGTCGTCCGTTAGGATCGTGTCAGACGGTGGTCTTTTCCTTCTTTTGCTTTTTTGTCTTGTCTTCGTTTCTTTGCTTTTCCCGTCTCGCCCCTCCTTCTGTCCGTCCGTCCGTGTCATGCTCGCTGCCCCCGTTTTATCTGTGTCGTGCATAACCCGCACGACACGCGCCCCGGCCAAGCCAAGCCGTCAAACACTTGCCCTGACGAGCTCATGGACGAAAAGGCAACCATGCAATATTTCTCTCCACCAATGTGTCTGTGCACGGCACGCGCAAAGCTTCAACGCACACGGATTGCCGCTCCGCCGAGTGGGGTCGCACACATGCAGCGGCGCCGTTGCGACGGGTGGATTGGCATTTGCTTGCTCGTCCTCCGCTCCTCTCCTCTCCTCTCCTCCTCTCGAGGAAACAAAAAGCAATGGAGACGCAGAAGGGGAAAAGAAAAGGAAAGGCTCGACCAATCAATTCGTTCCTGGTCACCTGCCGCCAGCGTGACATGTTGAATACACAACGTTGTACGCACACGTAACCAGATGCCTTGCCTCGCCTTGCTATTGCTCGCCTCTGCTGCCGTTTCTGGCTCGCTGCGGCATTTGCTCCTCGTGGTGGTGTGTCGTACGCATACACAACAATGCCCATCACCCATCATGGAACTGCGTCAGCGTCACCACGTCAAAACAAAGAAAAAGGGCACTTCGAGCCTTTCATCTAGTTGACCTGACTGTCGCCTTTTGTGTGCAATATTTGCTTGTTCTGCTCTGTTCCTACGAGACGGACGCCAGAGCCGTCCTTCATCCGCTGCGACTGCGCGTGGTTGAGCTCGCTGTCGCCTTGGCCAGCTGGCTGGTTTTGTGTACGGTTGGGGTAAGGTCGGATTGGCGACGACTGGTCGAGTCGTGGAAGCCTTGACTAGCTGGCTGTGTAGGTTGTTCTGCTCTGGGAATGCAGTCTTTTCCTTTATGTAGCTTTCAGTGGACAGAAATCTGACCTCGCTCCTACCAATTTAATTTCATCAGCACGCGTCTTCATCTTCATTTCGTCGTGGCAGGTTTTGATTCAATTCTCAACCATGAGACGAAGACCTGGACGGGCATTGTGTGCTAGGTTTACTTCCGCCCGACGGACGCAACGCATTATCGAACGCTGGCATATCATAGATGTCAAAGTTAGGAGACTCTTTCTGCGATCTCAAGCTTCATTTGTACACCAAAACTCCCCGGGCTCTAGATCCTCAGCTGTCAAGGCGTTTCAATGCTCGACGCACCGGTCTTTTGCTGTGCTTTTGTCAGTATATTAGCAGTCACAAAAAACGTCGACAATGACTTGGGAGTACCTCGATTTTTAGGATGTAAAAGCATCCTGACGATTCAGGCGCCGTTGCGTTACGATGTCACGTTTGATCCTTCAAGTGCAGCAGGCTGGTTTTGGACACGAAAGAGAATCTTGTGTTTTGAGAGTGTACGCGTGCAGGAGTCCATCTCCAACCTTTTTCCACAACGCCGTCGAATGCTCTATCTTTCAATTCAATCATCCCAATTACTATCACGTAACCATTAATTGGTTCCATGAGCTAGCTCTACATGTATTCTTGCTGAAATGACTATGTCAGGAACATGTCCCGACATGAGTCTCATGTGCTGACCACGTCTGCAACAATCGACTTCAATGTTCCGGCTCTTCCGTGAACACTGTCCATCGAAGCAACATCGGTTCGTGGATACTTGGGCCAGAGGAAAGAGCCATCTACCGAAGCGCTCATATCTTCAAGCGTATCCGGTTTTGCTTGGGCGACTCGCGGAAACTGGTCAACTACGCTGTCCGCGTGCAATTCTCGCAGAGAATTCGGAAACCTCTGCCCGCAGTATTCAAGCCTGTGAGATTATCAAAATTTGGCGTGAGTCCGACGTAATGATGCCCACTATGCTGGATGCCTGTCCAAAGCTTGTGCGCCAGGTATAAACAATGCAATCGCGCACAAAAATTCGACATGCAGACAATCGCGACGATCAAAGCGCACGCAGCTCGCGATCCATATAGCTGCAATCAAACAACAACACCATGGCCAGCCGTCCTTCAAAGCACTGCAGCCGTACGGGGTCTAGAATAGAACATTCGTCGTCAAAATAGAACGAACAGTCGTCCAGCTGCCCTCAGCCATTTCCTGGGACGTGGGATGAAACGAGATGAAGGGAGAGACGGGTTTTGTTGAGCCTGGGCCAGACGTTCGTCCGTCTGAGGTCTGAACGACTTCATCTCATTTCAACGCACCGCCACGCAGCGGCTGGACCCGTCCGTCCGTCCGTCTGTCAATCTGCCCGCGCCGCCTGTACCGCCCGTTTGGTCCAGCCTTTTGCCTGCCTGCCGTCGTCATCGATTGTACTGCCCGACGGCAATTCTTGCACGTTCAGCAGCTCATCATCAATCAGTCTGAAGCACGGGCACTCAGCCTGCATCTTGGAATCTGCAGAGGTCGAAGGTACTATCGTCTCTTTCCTTGCCGACTTCCGACTCTGGATAGTGAGTGCTGACGACGCCTACACTCAGCAAAAAGATGCCATACCGGCAGTCCATAGCGGGCCCTCCCCGCGAAATAGCCATCTGATCTTGCCCGTCACGTCAAAGCATCTAACAGTCACGCCTACTACGTGATTGACACCAAGCAACCGGCTTTCAGCGCGCTCATCTCCATCCACCACCCAAACAGCCGCCAAACAAGCGCCCATCCACCATCTGTGCATCTGCGCGAATTTTCCAGACACCTTCTAGAAGAGGGTCGTCGTCCGATCCAGCAACTAGTCAGGTCCAGTGCTGCCCAAGGCCGACCAAGGCGCCTTTCGCGTTCGTCATGGCCTCTTCTGGACGGCGGACTTGTCTGCGATAAGCTGCGCGGTACGCGGCTGCGTCCCGAAAGCTACCGCCCGTTCGTGTTGGGTCGCTGCTCATCAGGGTCTGAGAGCGGGCGATGGAGGCGGCGGCGGCATTTCGGAGGTGAGCTCTGTCGAGGCCGCTTGGTGCTCTGTCTCTCTGTCTGGTGCCCCGGTCTGGAAGGTTTTCCCGTTTGCCGCGAGCCAGTGGTCATGAAGAGCGATGCGCAAAAGAGCCTGGAGTTGTTGCCGGCAAAACGAGCGCAATGAGGCGTTGGTCTCGTCGCGGGCAGACCTTTTCCGCCACCACAACCTCTGACACTTCAACGACACGCGACCACGCGCACAGTAAAACAACTCGCGACCACTCGCCTAGGTCCTTTCGCATCGCCGCTCCATCGCGCAGTCGTCCGCGCGTCCGTGCGCCGCTCGTCTCGCGTCGCATCGCGGTCCCCACACCCCCTCTCCACACACACCCCTGAACGAAAAAAAAACTCAACACCACGCAACCCCAATACTACCCCATCATCTAGACGAAGCAGAAGCTACTGGATCCGCCGGGAATTGAACCCGGGACCTCTCCCATTCGAGATAGCGTAATCAGAAGCTTCCTGTGAAGGAGAGCTGTTGATGTTGCTAAGGGAGTGTCATACCCCTAGACCACAGACCCGATGTTTCCTGGTGTTGGTAGGATGTTGATGGAAACGTGACGGACAAGAAAGACTATAAACAGTATGCTCGTGCGATGGGAAAAGCGAAAATACAGATGACTGATTCTTGATCCTAGTTTGCGCGCCGATGGTGCGATTGAATTGCTCGAAAGTTCGAAAATAAATTGGGAAAGGATAGAGGTGAGAAGAGGAAAGGACTCTCGATGTTGCTTTGCCAGCGGAATTGTGCAATCGGAAAGGAAAAGTGAGCTCCTTGATTTATGTTCGGCCAGCAACCACGACTTGCTCGGCTGAGCGACAACCGTGTACAGAAGATTGATCGAGTGACCAATCATGTCCGAGCCAGGTCAAATATTCTTAGAGAAACCAGGTCCAGTCTGCGGCCACATTATAATCTGCTTTCAATCAGTGGGAAATCGGAAGCTTACCGCTAAAGACATGGCAGGTCCAACATGGGAAGGATAGCAGCAGAGATAGAGGAAGCATGTGTGTCCCTCAGAGGGATGCATGTTGCACTTGAGCCGATCATGTCTGTCACTACATTTGGCAACATTCAAACGGCGCGGCAAAAATACATAGCATACATACATCAGTACAATCATCCACTCATTATTTCATCAATTGATTGCCTTGGACAAGGTCGTTTCCCCTCCTTTCGTTCTACCTGGCCATATCTCTCTGCCCTAGAGAAAAATTCTCGATTTGCCTTCCTTGCTGAACTCAACTGCTTGACTTGACGGCTCAGCAAAACATTTCTCAACACAGCAAGAAACAGCGTGCGTCTTTTGGTTTGGAAATGCTGGCACGTATGGCCGAGTCACAGTGGGTGTCGAAAAAAAAATGAGACCTCCCGGGCCTAGCTAGCAACGAACCACGGCGCCCTACGGGCGTCTGTGAGGGTGGACGACAGCTCCTTGGGCATCACTGTAGCAGCGGATGTATGCCTCTTCAGCATGACTTTACGGGCAGGTGAATGCTCCCTGGGCGCAACAATGGCAGTAAACGCTTTTCCATTTCTTTCGACGCCCACTATGCAGTCGACTTACAGAGCTTTCAGAGGGGGCAGCTCGCCATCGTAACACACTTGCCATGCTACACGAGTCAGCGACAAATACACCGGACGATTCAGAGATACTCACACAACGGGAAGGGGAAATAGCTGCCGCCATCTTCTCTCATGTAGACATAAAAGCCACCAGGCCGAGGAACCTTCTTCAAGCGACCCGGGTCACCAGGGGCACGACGCAAGCCGTCGAGCGCGCCGACAGTGCGCAGCATTGCGGTCAAGGCAACCTGCGACGCGTCTTTACCGAGACATGTGTGCGGCCCGGCGCCGTAGTTGATGTAGCTGTCGAGCGGGCGGTCCACACGCACCGTCTCGGGGTCGGGGAAGATGGTTGGATCCTTCGCCGCCTTGTCCACAAACGACACAAAGACGTTGTCGCCAGCAGCAATGGGGATGGGGTTAGAGTCAGGCGACGAGGCGGGCCCGTCGTTGATTGTCGTGCTGCTGCTCGCGCGGCGATAGGAGCCGAATGTGCCGTTGAGACGGATGGCCTCCATGCAGTAGTGGAGGAGGAGCTCGTCGGACTCGGGAGTGTTGATTTTGGCAAGGCGGTTGATTTCAGAGAGGTGGGCCGCACCCGCCGGAGAAAGGTAAAAGTCCAGTATCTGAGTAAACACTTGCGCCTGGTTCGGAACCATGGCGACAGCAGTCGGGAATACTTGTGACCACGCAACCTGCTCGACGCTGAGGCCAGACTCGAGCAACCGGCGGGTCATGTGCACGCCGTACTCCGTCAGGAAGGAGTCGTTCTCACGGAGAGAGTCGGCAACCTTGGCGACCCAGCTGGTCATGGAGACGGATTTGACATTGGCCTCGATAAGCTTCCCGAGTCCCTTGGCCACGGCCTTTGCAGCAACGTGCAGGGGGAAAGACTTGGCTGGGTCCATGTCGAAGAAGATGCAGATGAAGATGACGGCCACGGCCATATACATCTCGTGCTCGGTGAATATGCCCTTGGGATGCTCGGCAGTCTTGAGAGGGAGGGAGAACACGTTGGAAGCAAAGTGGACGTGTGCCAGATTGCCAACACTGGAGTCGTTAGCACACCCCTGTTGATATTTGGAACGACTCACTCTCTGGTAATGTCAACGTGATTGGTCCCCGCGATCTTGAAGGACTTTTGGTGCAAGAGCTTCAAGGTTATGTGCTCGTAGAACCTCTTGATATCCCGGTGCCAGTTCTCTCGGTACAGCGTCTTTGCCATTGTCTTTCTCTGATTGGCATTGAGCGGTGTATCGCCAGACCTAAATATGTCAGTATGAGGCAGACAGCTGGGTTGGAGACTCACAGCATGAAGTTGGCACCACCCTTGCCCATGAGTTCTTCCAAAGTTGCTCCCCAAGTGACCTTGAAGTTTGCTTGATTCTCCAAAACGGACTTCGCCCCGAGGTAGGACGTGATGTTGATTCTGGGTTTGATGAGGCCAGGGCGATCATAAGAGTAGTGGCTTTCACGCCCGAGAGTTTGCATGATCTTCCGATTTTCGGAAGGAATGGTCATCTCATGATTCATTAGCTGTGCCATCAAGACGACCAAGTTGAGGACTCACCGGGTAGTGTGCGTAGATTGAGTTTGGCTTGAAGTGGTTCGGGAAAGATCTGAGAAAAAGCTTGTAGAAGACACATCCTTGCTCAATGTTGAGGTCGTACTGCGCTTCAGTGTAGCCCCAACTACCACCATGTCAGTCGCGGCAAACGAATGCTCCCAGGTTGCTTACTTGGTCAAGTTTTTCGCATGGTAGTCGACAGTGTAGAACCTATCGCCGCGAACGAGGACGACTGCATCCGAAAGAATTGCCTTGGAAATGGTGAATGTCGGGGCAATTCCCACACCAGGAACCATGGGCGTTTTTGCTTCTTCGGTGACTAGACCTGGGTACAGTTCAACAAAGTCGGGATGGTTGTATAGATGGCGCAACTGATCAGCAACCTTGGGATCACTGTTGATGTCCTCAAAAGTCTCGTGGGGCTTGAGACCAAAGAACTTGCGGAACTCGTTCAATGTAGCCAAGCCCCACTTCCTCGACTGTTGCATGCCCATGATCTCGACTGCCTTGAGAGCCTTTGGCACGTTGTTTGCCCCAAAAGCACCTACCCATAGTTAATCTGGTGCACCGATTTCCTTAGGGGGCACTCACCTGCAGTGTCCTCGATGCTGTCACAAAGAATCTCAACCAATTCATCATCGCTGAACTTGCCGTCAGATCCACGTGAGAGACCAGCAAACTCTCGCTTGAGGGGATCTGCGGGGAGTGTCTTGTCCCAAAGAGACAAACCAGCAATGAGCTCTCCCATCGAGACCTCTGAAGAAGGCTTTTTGAAAAGCCGCTGGTATTCCTTCTCGGTCCATTCTTCGTCACGTTTGCTGGTAGCTGAATGCCACCTGTATACGAGGTTAAACTCGGCGCTGACTTGGTTTCCAATACCACGTGGGGTCCCGTCTGTCCCAAAAACCTTTGCCATGTCCACCCGAGGATCCAGAGTCCAGGTAGTATTGCTCCTGTTGAGATTCACGATACTTCTGAGGTAGTCACCCAAAGTGATGTTCATGTATAGTCCGCATGTAATCAACCTGCCAGTTTGAAACAGATCATTGTCGTACTTTTTCCACTTCTCAGCCAAGTGATCTGGCGACAACCCGTTCGGATTGGGCTTCGTGAATCGTCCATTTTCGTTGATGGCGGCAAGTTGCTCGACGACGTAGTTGTGGAAGCGGTTGAACATGATCAAAAGGACACCGCACCCAGGAGGGAACCCGAGGAGGCGCTCCTCTGAGAAGCAATCAGGCTTCAATTTGCCATCCTTGAAAGTACGGATCTGGTCCTGGTCCTTCTGGGTGTCACCATACAGGGGCGACAGATCGAGGTATGATGACGTTTTGGAAATTGAGATATCTTTGTGGTCTGGAGATACGTTAGTCTACTGATACTATGACTTTGGGATTGTTGGGAGCATTCTTACCGGTTTGGAAGAGATCGTGGATGATCAAGGAAGCCCAGTAAAAGAGAATGCTGGAAACCTTGTTGGGATGTTCTCGAAACTCCTCTCGAGCAAACACAGAATCAAAGATGAGGCCTGGGTCGGGAAGTGCTCCCGGCTGAACGATCTTGGGCTGCACGCTGCGAGCGTATGGGGTGTTTGCTTTTAAATGTTAGCGTTGGTCAGTAATTTTCAGAAACGCCTTACCTGCTCCCAAATGGGGATACATTATGTTCTGCGACTGTCAGCTGATCCTGTCACGTAATGAATGCTCCATGGCAATCCGCCTGTCTGAATGCCTCCCTGCCGCAGCGCATGAATGCTCCGGATCCACCGACTGCTTTCGAATTTGCCTGTTTTTTCGAGTCTGTCCCAGGAATCTTGCTTCAAAATTCGAACGGCGGTGTACGGGCTTCAAGGCTATATTGTTGGAGAAGTGGAGAACTGTGCGCAAGACTTACGTTGAAGGAGCCATCCGCCATGCGGTACGTAAATCGGTCACCAAGATATCTAACAAAGTCAGCACCGATTCTTGAAATCTGGCATGGAATCATACGAGACAGGAGGGTGCTGCAGACAGTCCCACAACTCGTCGACAAATGCATTTGTGAGATCTGTTCGGACTGCAGAATTTCCTGGAAGAGCGGCGACGAGCTACCGAACGCATTAGTAGGACTCAAACATACCAAGAAATTTACTTGCCTGGATCACGCGCTCCATCAGATATGTCTTGTCGTCAATGAGCTCCTTCTTCGCCTTGTTGGTAAGTACATCCTTCAGAGTTTTGTAGTCCTTGATGCCCAAAGATTTGAGATTGTCCATCAAACCAGCCGAGGACTGCTTTTGAACATACGACCCATCGCCCGTCTGAGTTGGCAAGGGCCGCTGAGACGCGTGGAGAACGGTAGCGAACTGAGTAAACACGCTGTTACCGGCATCCTCATCTAAGCTCGCG